GGACCATTTGTGGTACATTCGGTGCGTCCTAATGGGGCCTACTTGCTGAAAGACTTGGATGGAGAAATGCATGAGCGTTTGATAAATGGCAAATATTTAAAGCCATATGTGCCGTCCTCATGGGACGCAGCTGGTCATTAATCTGAATAATGACGATCAACCATGTGCTAAAAGGGTGTGGCCTCGTCGGCCACCAAGCTTGCACAACGTGGTTGAATAGTACGGTAATGGCGAAGTAGGCAACAAATGAACTAATTTGCCAACTCCGTTATTAATAAAGAAAAGTTTAATGCCTTTAAGGCCAGCGGCAGGGTTCACCCAAGTCCGGCCGGTGTGGCATCGCTATTCGATGCCAAACGTTCCTTTCGTATCAAACGAAGCTGTTTTACCACGGGAAGCAGGCATGGGTAACAGCGTTGTTGGGCATAGACGATTTGGTAAGAAAAATTAAGCAGGCTATCGTGATTAGAATTAGCCAGTCAGCCATGCTCAAACACGGCCGTCGAGATTAGAGCGGTGCAACGGATTAAAGAAAAGAGAGCAACCGTTTGCCAAAATTAGATAAACAATGATGAGCAAGCAAAGTTGTTCATGGGTCGAGTAAACATGGCAGAAATGAGTGTGCAATCCGAGAAACGAGGCCGAAACAAAAATCTAAGACAAATTCCGAAATGCAGAAAAGAAATTCTTTAGGAGTCTGACTGCTCGTAATCGGCGAGCTTCTGGGCAATGAGGGACAGAGTAGTGCGGACCCGAGTGAAAAAGCTTTGCACTGCTTGCAGCTCAGCCTCCGCATGAGTCGGCATTGCACTTGCTCTAACCACCTGCAGAGCTGGTGCCACGGCTTTCCCGCGTTCCACTAGGTCTTTACCCACTGTGCGGAGGAACGCCATGTCAGCATCACTAAGTGGTGGAACGTTAATGCTCAAAGTCTCCAGAATTTTGCAAGCAGAGCCGGGCCATACTATGGTTTGGTCACTCATGGAGGTCACCAGAGGAATGCTAAGAAATTGATCCATCATCTTCAATGCTTCTCGGACTCGGCGTCGAAGTTCATTCATGGGCGAAGACGACGCGGGAAGGGAGCTAGATGAGTCCATCGCAGTATGGAAGCCATGCCCGGTATCAAAATCGTCGGTGTCCTGTTGCAAAAGGAAGCAAGGGTGTGCGTAGGAGGTTAGCTAAAAGATGGTCGCGTAGTATGAGAAAGCATGAGTAAAGCTAACCTCGACGGGAGTGGTGCGAAGAGATGAAAGGGTGTCGAGTTCTATGGCGGGAGAGTTGTCCAGGTTCCTCCATCTTTCCTGTGGATCATCAATGCTGCATATATGGGCCGCGAGGTCGGGCGGTGGTGGCCTGCCAAGAAGAGAACAGGTATGTTATTCGTATGATCGGAAAAGTAACCCCAGTCACACACCGAGGCGGGCCATTGTTAAATCAAGTATCGGCAACGTAGAAAGTGTAAAACTACCAAGAGCAGGTACGTTATCTTTTATTCACAAGGTCATGATTGCATAAACAATATGAATGCCAAAGGTGAAGCCAAACAATGAAGCAAGAACGTGGATATGCATGCCATTATTCTCCCGCAAGTTTACATGGGCATATGTACTAGCGTCATCTACATTCAATGTTGCCGTTAAATGGCGAGTAACGAGAGGGAGCAAGAAATTCAGTACTGTTTTTGGGGAGGTGTGCGGCCGCCGGGAGCCATGTCGGTGCCGTGGTGGATGATCGCTGGGTTGTATGCTCGAAGAGGAAGTTGGAGGGGGTGTAGCGAGTACCGCCGCGGGTTGGCAAGGTTGGAGGTATGTTACGGAGTTGTCGGATTTATTTATTTATAGGACCATCATACCTGGGTTAGGAGTATTAAACTTGTGAGGAAAAGGATAGCCTGGCACCCTTGTCATTAAGGGAGAAGGTTAGCTCCTCATCGTGCCTAGCAAACGTGGCCGCATAGTTGCAAGGCTGGCAGCTCAAGTGCACGTGTGGATGGTTTGAGAAGAGGGATGGATTTTGTTCTTGTTCAGGAAAGAAAGAAACCAAAGCAATAATGCAGGTCCAGGAAAGAGGGAGACTTAGTTGATATGAGGCGTTGTGGTTGTGGCCAATTGTGGTGGGTTTAGAGCTAAAATTGTCCTCTGCAACTTTGGACAAGGAAAATATAAAGAAGGGAGTGAGTGCTGAAGTTTGGGACTCCTTGGGTTGGCGGCCGCAAATCCAATTTGGCCGGGAAGGATATACATTAATATTATATTTAAAGAAAATTGATAAGTATGCAAGGTTGTATTTTTTCTCTTCGCAGCTTTGCGGAGTGGAAACAAGTTCGTGGTGGTTCGGGTAAAGTTGGCCGCAGAACTGTTTTGGGAGGAGCAAAGCATTATAACGCCGCCGTTTAAGCAAAACAGCGTTGCGTTGTTTACGTGTTAATGTGTATAATAATGATAAAAAAAGGGAGAGAGATTATGGCCAAAGCGGCACTAACGGGGAAAAATCAGGACTGTTTAAACAAAGAAACAACGCTGCGAGGCTGCACCACTGGCCGCAATAAAAAAAATTTAATTAAATAAATTGTCGCCAGAACAATGTCGTGGTGAGAGAGGAAAAAGCAAAATCAGAGCTGTTGTTGAGAGTGCCGCGGAGTTGCTGGCAGAGAAAAGAATCCTAGCAGCTCTGATGCTGGCCGCAACGTTGAAGTTAAGTAAATTCTAAAAATAATAATAATAATAATAATAAAAATATTGGGCCGCTAATCCGCAGCGCTGCGGAAGGAGAAAACCAGGTTTGTACTAGGCGTATGCTGCGGTGTTGATGTATCCAGCCGCAAGGGTGTGTTGTGGCAAAACGCCGCCGCATCCGTGTTTCTAAAACACTATTGCTGCCTCGCTTGGAATACAGACTAAGTAACGCGAGGGTTTTTGCCACAACAACGTGGCAAAGCTACGACTACTAAGTATTTTGGTGGAGCCCAATGTTGAGAGCAAGTTTGCTGTATGGGATCTCTCATGTCCATCTTGTATAAAAACTACAGAGGGATGCGAATGACGTTGCATGGTAAAGCTACCATGCTAGCCAAAGAGATGGCTACGTGAGTTTGAACGGAAGAACAGGTGTCACCATGGTTGTGGTAAGGAGCAGTATTGCGAAATGGCGGAGCATGGAACCAAAAAAGAGAAGCGCGGACGTTTTGGCTCCAGGACGTTACAAGGAGGATTGGAAATAGAGGTAAAATCCCCACTTATGTCATCTTAATTATGCACGTTCTTAGTTTATGGTTTGAGAAACCAATTATGAGGGCCTGAAGGTTGGTATTTAGGCAGACCAATTTGTTGTTACAATTTGGTTCATAATTCTTATAAACCAAATTGTGGGGGGCATTTGTTGACACCTAAAATTAATTTGTCCTGAATTAAATGCCGCATTAATTAGTCTCGGCATTTAATTCGATACCGCGGGTAAAAAACGGTGTCGTTTGGAGTTGAGCGGTGTCGCGGAGAGTTAAAACGATACCGCGAAACGGAAAAGCGGTACCGCAAGGAAGCTCAGCGGTACCGCGACACCGCCGGAAAATAAGATGGGGCCGCGCGTTTTGTTATTGGTGTTGGAGAAGGAGTTTTTTCTCTAATTAATTATTATCTTTATTCCTTATCGGAAAGGGAAAAAACGATACCGCGTGGAGTCGAGCGGTGTCGCGGAGAGTTAAAACGGTACAGCGAAACAGGAAAACGGTACCGCAAGGAAGCTCAGCGGTACCGCGGTACTGGAAACGGTACCGAAAATAAAGTTGGGCATCAATGGTGGGAATCCGACGATGCCGGGGTGCTAAGAGCTACGTCAATGTTGTAAGCCATGAATCACCATAGAAAGTGGCATTGATATTGTGAGTGCATCGATGTTGCAAGGCTAGGAGCTCAGTGTTGCGGTGTTGTTTGTGATACGCCGTCGTTTTATGAACAAGGATGAATGTAGTTTGGCTTGAGGAGTGGGGGTGGATTATCGAACCCGGGTGGATATTTACAAGGGTGGTTCAATGTCGTTTTGTCAAGTTGCTGCGTAGCAAAGCGGTTTCGCACTCGTGGGAGTTACGCAACAAGGAGGAAGTTACCTGCACGGTTGACAGGAGTGAAGACGTGGGAGACAAAGGCGCGAAGGCAGTTACTGCGACGAGAAGAAGCGCGAAGTATAAAGATTGGAAAGAGAGAGAAGTTAAAGACGGCAAAATCAAATCACAAACTGCACCGTCGCAGATTTTATCTTTTCTCTCTCTAGTTCGTAGAACCGCTCTGTCAAAGAACTCCTTTGCAGAGTCGTAGATCGTAGCTTGTAGTCGTAGTCGCGGAGCTCTCCAGAGGAACCTCCATAGGAGTAGAGGTAACGTAACTTAGAACACTCCTGGTTCGATTTTCTGTTTATTCGAACACCCTCGTTCGAACGTAGTTTGGAGAGGTGTGAACCGAGTAACAGTTGTTTGATTAGAGTCAAAGGTGTATCGATCGAATCAACGACGCCGACACCGGCGGCGGCCATTTGACGATCGTCTTTGTTTCTGTTTTAATCGATCAAATCAACGGCGCCGACACCGGCGGCGGATATTTGACGATTTTGTCTGATTTCGTGTTTGTGTTTACTTGAAACCAGTGCACATTGAACACGCGAGTTTCGCCAACGAAACAACTCCAAAAATTGATTTGTTTTAAGTTTTAACAATATTTTAAGTTTAATCCAGCTTGAAAATTAATAATTCGCAGAGCTCACCTCTTCTGCTTTCCAGGCACATCATCTTCCGTAACCTCAACGGGCTTGATTCTTCTGTTTGTATACTTAAGATCATCCCGATCGTACGTGTCACCTCGAGGAGTGAAGAACACCGGGAGCAGGTTTTGTTTAACCGCAGAGGATAACAACCGTCGCTTTAAAATAGAAAAAGAAAAAATAATCGAAAACCCCCGTCTTCGCTCGTCTCGTCTCTCTCACAGCTTCTTCGACTACTCTCCATTCCTGTCGTCAGTGTTCCCTTTTTCTTTCTTCTTTCAAACGTAAGTCGTTTTCATTACTACAACAGCTCACTCCTGCCGTCGCCGGGGAAGTTACGCCGGCGAAGTTAACTCTTGTCTGGAGAAAACGGTTATCATCGATTTCCGTTTACCATTTAAGTATTATCTTCATTTTCTGCTATTGGCCGGAATTGTATTCGCTTGGTAGGAAATGGCTTTGGAGCCGTCTCGCTTTGTGTAGAAACCGAGAACAGTTCTCTCTCTCTCATCCCCCCTTTAGAATGAATCCCTAGCTCGCTGCATGTTTTCTGTCAAATACGCTGGTTTTGGTGGTATCTGTCTCTTCCATTTTCAACTGCTCGGTGCGTTTGTTCTGCAGATTGTGTTAGCGAGACGAAACGCACTGATCGCTGCTCCCGGTTGGTCGGACTGTTCGGAGACGGCGGGTTCTGAATTTTCCGGCACCTCTCGGCGTTGATCGTGCTGCAATTTCCTCGGAATTGAACAGCAGTGACGTAAGAAGAATGGTAATGGTGCTCTGCTATGCCCTGCTCATTTTTGGGGTTCTGAGTGCAAAGTTACTGTGTGGATTTTGGTGGAGAAAATGATTGTATGTGGCTGTGATTCTTGTTCGTGTTTTGGGCGGCTTCTTTTGAGGGGAAACATGTTATGGATTTTATTTTTCCTGGCAGTCTTCTTCTCAAGGGATGAACTTTTGGGTGCCAAGAGATGCTGATTCTCAACCTAAAGGAGAGATTGCCATCACTGGTTTTGATGACAATGCTTCAGCGGGAAGAAGCGAACAAAAGCGTGGCCATCAGTGGGTTACGGATTTGTGTCGACCGGAACATTTAGGCAACAAGAGGCTAGCAACTGAAGCTGTCAACAGTAAGCCAGCATTGAAGAATGTTCCTACATGTGGAAGTGCATTTCCTTGGCCTAACGTCTCCGAATTCCAGCTGCTTTCGGGCCAACTTGGTGGCCGCGATTTTGGGTCTGAGGCATTGGTCAATGGAAGTGTGGCTGATCAGAACCAGCCATCTGTTGGGAATGGAAGTATGGATGTGCGGACGATGGGATTTGGTGGGCAGCGTGTTAGAGACTCCTCTATGGGTTTATCTTTAACTCACAACATTGAAGATCACTTGGGTAGCACCGGTCTTGGTGGACTTAGAAAAGTGAAAGTCAATCACGTTACTGATTCGATTTCGGTAAGCACTACCTTCAATAAGAGTGATGGTGGCAGCTCCATGACTTTGCCCCCTGCTTATAGTAACTGCAGTGAGAATGATGCGTCTGTTGAACGAATCTTCAGCAAGACAGGTGGAAATTTCATTTCACCCATGGGTCATTGTGTCAACCAAGGAAATGGAAACTCCATGCTGATGACTTATGGTTGTAGTAACCAGGAAAGTGAGAACATTTTGTCTATGGGACAGCCATTTAATAAGTCTGGAACCAGTTTCAACCAAATGGGCCCGGCATATGGAAAGAAAGACAACGCTCGCATGTCAATGGCTTCCCTAAAACACGAGGGTTCCATCTTGATGAGCCCAAATCATGCTAAACCAAACGAGAATTTCATCTCCACAGTTCATTCTAACTGGAAGAGAGATGATAATCTCGTATCGATATATCCATCCTATGGAAACTCCAGCATCAAATCAATGGATCCAACTCCAGGCATAGCAGAATCTGGGATCCCATGTCTTGGTCACAACTACAACCACAATGCTCTTGACAATGCTGTATCTTTCGGGGCCTTTTCTGCGACTGAGATGACTGCCTCTAGTGCTACTGTTGGTGGTGGTTATGGCATGTTAATTCCTGGTCAGAGTTCAGGTCAAACTTCAGCAAAAATATTAAGCCAAAAGAATTTGGAGCCGAGTACAGACAGAGCTGCAGATGATGCTCCAAATGCTAATTTGACAGGTGATTCAGCCACCATGAATAGAAAGCCCAAAGCCAAGAAGGATGCTATGAACAACTTCCCTACCAATGTCAAGAGTCTGCTATCGACTGGCATTCTTGACGGGATCTCTGTCAAATATGTTTCCTGGTCAAGGGAGGTGAGAAGATTGTTTATTTGAGTGGGAGATGCCTCTTTAGTTAAGTAGGAAGAATGAATTATCGTTCAGGTTACAAACCAAATTTCTCATCCCGTAATAAGCCATCCCATTTTGCTGTGCAGACAATTGTTAAGGGAACCATAAAGGGAACAGGGTATTTATGTGGCTGCAATGAGTGTAACTATGGCAAGGTAGGAAATCCACATTTTTATGCTTGAGCTTCTTTATGGCAAGAAGTAAACTGAACTAGATTTTCCTCCTTTATGCTTGTGCAGAGTGTAAATGCCTTTGAGTTTGAGCGTCATGCTAATTGCAAGACAAAACATCCCAACAATCACATTTACTTTGACAATGGGAAGACCATCTATGGTGTTGTTCAAGAGTTGAAGAACACTCCTCAGGAGCAGCTCTTTGATGTGGTCCAGACTGTAACTGGGTCTCAGATCAATCAAAAGAATTTCCTCTCGTGGAAGGGTAATGACTTCAATTTTTCTTTGTTTGATGCCATTCAAGTAGCATAACAGAGAGAGGGGAAAATGAGGAATAGTTTTATTTTCTTTCTACATCTACACTGACCAATACAAATCCGCTCCTTTTGTTTTCCCCAGCATCTTTTCAAGCTGCAGCGCGTGAACTTCAGAGAATCTATGGAAAGGATGATGTTGTAGAATTTTGAGATTGCGATCCTTGATTCTGTGGAAATTTTGGGTGGTATGTAATCTGTGCATAGCCAAAACATCAAAAAATTTCAGTGAAAGATAGAAATGTTGGGATCTTCAGTCTTTCGTTTAACAAAAGAATGCCTATAAATTTATCATCACTCGGAAAATTCAGTAAATGCCTTGTGATTGGAAATAGAGTTGTCTGTCTTATGTTATTTGAGAAAGTAAAAACACCTTTTGCAGATTCGTCAAACGTAAGGTCTTAAAAGTGTCCCTGGAGTTTAATAGAAGAATCATTTTCTCCGACTTAAAATTTAAATTTGACAGACTACATAATGCTCTTGTGATAGTTCTGGCTGGCAGTTTTCTGGTAATCTCGTTGTGCATGATACCACCAGTTTAGATATTCAAGCAAATTTCCTCATTGGCTCACTATCTATGCATCCCTTTGGTTTAGATGTCTATTTTGATGAGATGATTGAACACAAAGCTAGGAGATGTGTTGATGCTTGCTTGCAGAAGGGTGAAACTTGACTAGCATAAAATCTCTGTTGTAACTATACTGTTCATAGATTGGCTGTTGCTGATTCTGTCCCATGGCCTTGGCAAATTCAGAATTAGTCTTCGATCATTGGTCATCCACATTGCTCCCCAATTTGCTTGTTATTGCCACTGCTCCACTATCTTCGCTTGGAGATGCAACTGTTTTATTTTTTCTCGCAGCACTTCATTATCTTATATCCATTGTTGGGCAGCTCTGCTACAACCACGTGCGTCCACTTACTAAAGCAGGAAGAAACATGTTGAAGGTGTTGCAGTAGGGTGTTTCTTTTCATCCCATATCATACAAGTTCTAGCCATGCACAGGCCTACAAAAATAGAAACATGCTCAATCTCTGTATTATGGTAGATTGCATGTATGCAGCTTGTTTTTAAAAGCTTAAGGAGGACTTTAAAGTTCTCCATTACTGTTAAGCAAGCTGAGAAAAGAGTATCTCGTGTGAGAGATGAAGAAATTCTTCTTTGGTATGCATGTCAATCATTAGGACAAGCCAATTACTTCACCATAGTCTTGTCAGATATGCATATTCCATCAGGTGTGGACATAGGAACTCAGAGAAGGATACCTTTCTACGATAAGCATGCGGTGTGTGTGAAGGGTCTCCATCTTGCCCTTGCTGAAGGGGCAAACATATTGGTGGGTGCAATATTCTGCCCTTATAAAGAGCACGCTCGATGGTTCAGTCTTTGCTCCAGGTACATTGATATCAGAACATGCTTCTATGAACACTTGGTTATGCGCTTTTCAGAAAGATCACAGACCTTTCAGTTTTAGCTATCGATGGCACTAGATGTTTCTACCTTGTATATGTGAATGGTTACTCTTCCTTACTTCATAACATGGCAGTTATTAGTCATGAAATTGCTGGCTTCCCGTTTCAGTTTCAAAGAAGTATTCCACTCTCCTTATGCTGCTGAGTAACTAAAGTCCCAAGCATTTTCCGCTGGTTGATTCCTATTGCTACTTGCTAGATGCTTAGATTTCCCACTCTCTTTCGACTTTCCTTAACAACAGGTCAGGAATGTCTTTGCTAGAACTAATTACAGCATGCAATCTGAAACTCCATAGAAGTGTCTACAAATTCCATTGCTGTGTAAGGTATTTGCTATGTTGATTTCCTTATTCGCAATCACCTACTGCCACTGTGCATGTTCTTTTTATAAGTCGGGGTAGATTCATCGACGAAGTCCCATAGAAGGCTGAAGGCAAAACCCCAAAAGAAGTGAACTGCATCATTCAACACTATTAATTCCTTGCTTCTCAAGTCACTAGAAAATAGAAAGACTCCTTGGTCTCTGTTTCTTGCTCTTCTGGAGTTGACTGTCTTGTTGTTTACTGGCTTCTAAATTCCCATATGTATAGAGAGAATACATTGAAACTGACAGGTCTAGTTTAAGTCCATAGTTTATGTCAGTTTTTATTTATTTCCTTTTTGCAGATTAGGTTTGATTGGGAAATCATATCTCCTGAGAAATGGATGGTTGGGGGCTGAATACTGATGATTGAGATTGATTTAATTAATAGAAGATTTCATTCTTTTTTGGTGGGTTTTGTAATGGAATGAGTATACAATTGCAAGTGGTGAGTACTACCCTACCAATCCACATCTAGTCACCTGTAGCCACTCACTTATCATTGTAATGGACGAGAACTGAAGTAAAGTAGTCCAGCTTAGCACCATCAAAGGTTTCATTAGTGCTCTCTTTACATTGCAATTATGGTACTAATATGTATTCCATTATTAATAATCATCACTATGTTCTTGGGTTAGGACTTCCAGACATGAAGTAGTAGACTTTTGCTTTCTCACTAACAAAACATCAGCAGCAAATGGTACAGAGACAGAGAAGAGAGCAAGAGAGACAGGCACTTGATTTCTCTCTTACTCTGCTCTTCATCATCTTCAAGTTCTCGCCACCTCGAGGGAAACAAAGTGCACATCATCTTCGGTCTTCTCATCGTTGGCTGATGAAGCAGCAGCAGCAGCAGCCACTGCACTAGCAGTTGGTAAATCAGCCACCTTATCGTTCCCGCTGCCTGGTTGTTGGTCTTTGCTCTTCCCCCACAGCACCATGTACAATCCCATCACTATAACGATTGCTCCCAGGATCCTTCCCATGTACAGAACCTCGGATAAGAAAATGGAACCCATGATTGCGACTAGCACCATGCAAAGAGGGCTAAACGCGGTCACGAAAACCGGGCCCTTGGTCTTCAGCACCACTCCCTGTATGTAGTATGACATTCCTGAACATATCACTCCCTGCACCAACACAAAGAAAGGGAAAAAGTAAGTAAGTTGAACAAGCTCCTTAAGAGCTTCAATGTAACAGAATTTTTTCATTCAGGACTTACACTATAAACAGCAGCTAACAACTTGGAGTCCAGACCAATGGCCCAAGCAGAAGGGTTCCCCCATTCCATCCCAATGGCCAAAACCGATCCCTCGATCGTTCCCATCAAGCAGATCAAAGCTGTTAATGAGAGCTGAGCTGGGTATGATTTCGAAGTGATTGCCTGAAGAATGACAAAACCTGCCCAGGAAATGCAGCCAACAGCTATCATAACTGCACCCTTGACAGGATGTTGAGCAGCAGCTGCTGAATTCGCGGCGGCATGAACCCCTTCAGTCCATGGCAGATCCACCCTCGCACCTTTGATCAAGGTCATCAACATGGCTCCTCCCACTGTCACGATTGTCCCCAGAATTTTCGCATGGCTGCGCACCTTCTTCAAGTTAACTGACTCAAGGCTGTGAAACACAAACCATAAAATAAAACCCATTGTTAACCACAGTGCCAGAAGTGTCATGATACATAGTAGTAGTCATCAAAGAAACCCGTTCCAATATTGTTGTTCTTACCTCAGGGCCCAAGCCATGAGGAATGTCAAGGCAGGGGAAACATTGACCATAGCAGCAGTAAAAGTTGCTGATGTATACTTCATGCCTGTATAATACAAGTTCTGATCGATCGTTGGCCTGTAACGAACACAAATGTAAACGTTCGTCGATTAATTAACACACGCTTAAGGTTAGCGAATTACTAGCTGTTTTAAAAAAGAAGTAAGATAAAATGGGTTGCTGTTATTGATGATCTTACTCCAACAAACCAAGGAGTGCAATCTTGAAGAAGATCCCCATGGTCATCTTTGGTCTCGTCTTCCTGCAGTCATTCCCAAATGTTTCATCATCAATTAGCTTCCTCAAGTTGGCACAAGTAAAAAGTTAACTACACCACTATAAGAACCTGTCAAAGATAAGTGCAAAGGGGGCAATAACAGCAGTGGCGATTGCATGTCGATAGACAACGAGGACGTGTTGGCTCATTCCTCGGTCGAGAGCAAACTTGGAGATGATGGACATGCCAGCATACCCAGACTGGATGAAGATCACAGCCAGAAATGGCTTTGCTTGGTTGCACAACTTTGATGACCAGCACTCCATTTTTTTGGAGGAAAAATGAAGTTCTGTTATATATTTGGGCTCTTGTTTGGGTTTTTAGCTAGGAGGGTTGTGGTGACTTGATGCAAAAGGTACTGTAGTTTCTGCCTTCTAGTCTCTCTGTCTCTTTTATCTGTCTAATCTGATGCAACTAGAAGCTGGTGAGCAAAAGAAACAAGCAGATAGGAGGTTTATATAGAGCCAGTTTTTTTTTGTGGGTTTTATGTTTTTCTTTTCTTTGGCATTGATTAGAACATTATTGCGAACAAGGCTTTGTTTGGGTTGGTTTTCAATTCTAACCAGGGAATCCACTACCCATGTCTAACTAACTCAGGTTAACTTTTTTTTTTTTTTTTTGGGAAAGACTGTACCTTTTTTCATCCGGTAATTACTATTTATTAGCCAAACTTATTTCGGATTCTTTTTTAATTAGCCAAACTTATCGAAATACTAAGAATTAGCCAAATGTTAAATTTCAGTTATTAGTAATATTGATTTGGCAACATAATACTGACTTGGAAGAGCCACATGAAGGTCAACATTCCAAAATTTTAGTATTTTAACAATAACGTAAAAATGACTAATATTTTGATGCATTAAAAAAGATTTAACTAATATCATGAGAACCAACTATAGTAATCTCATAAGCCCGTTATAAAAAAAAAGTAATCTCATAAGCCACCGGAGAGAATCTGACATCCCATCAGCTCATTGGTGTTGGCTCGTTTGGGTGGTGTACTGCTAAAATAGGCAAAATAATAGATCATAGCAAGGACTTCATGTTTGCAATGGTTTGATCCGTATCAGATCAAACCGAATATTTGGGCTGATCTAAATCGGATCGATTATAATGCAATCTGATTCTTTGGTCCAATGAATCTTCGGACCAATTTTAAAGAAAAATGTGGACCGGTTCAATATAGGCACCCACCAAAACAAAATGTGGACCGGTTCATGGGTACCCACGGGTTTTGTCGTAAAAAATTTACAATTACAAGTTCTTATCAAAATTAAAGTCAAATATCAATCTCTCAATACAAATTATCCATATATAAAACACCATTCTAGAAAATTCAAGCAAATCACAAATTAACTATACAAATTGTTCAACACCAATCTAGAAAACTCAAGAAAATTGCAGCAAATTACAAATTATCCATAAATAACATGTTTAATTGAAAGCTTCTTTGCTCTCCACTCCATAACATCAACTTCATTCTACACAATTAAAAAGAAAAAATTAGACATGTCTCCACAAACGTTAATAAGATTAGTTGTTTAGAATATTAAATATACCGAAAAATTAATTATATGGGTGGGCGGGTACCCACGGGCCGGGTTTACCTAAACCCAAACCTAACCCAACCCGGTGAATAGTGAACGGGTTTAAACCCAAACCCGGCCCAAAACCCGTCAACACGGATTTTACCCGCGTTGACCGGATTGAGTCGAATGGGTACCCGTGGGTTCGGGTTTTGTTGCCATCTCTACATAAAATGACGTGAATGAGCACAAAGTGTCATAAATGAGCTGGCCGGCCTTAGGTGTTTTGTCACTTAACGTGACAAATGTTTTCCTATGACGATTAGTTTAGAATTCGATGACGAGAACAGCAAAGCCAAGTGGTAGCTGCTGATGCGGTCGGTCGGGATTCTGGTTGGCCAATTTATTCAGTTAAGAGGAATATTACTTCCTGATGCAAATGAGAGAGGACGTTTGATGGAAGCTGCAGAATTCGATCTCGAGTTCTATATCTCTAGCTCTCTGTAGAGGGAGGGATGTGATGGATTCTTCCTCATTTCCTCTGTTGGCCACGAGAGAGAATGACTTTTCTTCTGTTCCCTTTCGGCAAACTTGTGGATGCCCTTTGGCCCACCTCCAACCAACCAAAAACCAAGAACAAAGAGGTGCAATTAACCCGGCTAAATGTCACATTTGATTATTGGGATTACTAAATCGTTAATGTTTAGTCACTAGAAAAAATTAATATCAATTTGGATCACTCGAATTACTAAAACAGGTCACATTTAGTCACTCTCCCATTAGCCTCCGTCCAACTCACGGAGTAAATGTGACATGTTTCAGTAATTCGAGTGGCTAAAATTGATATTAATTTTTTAAGCGACTAAACATGACATGATTTAGTAATCCCAGTAACCAAATGTGGCATTTACCCAGAAGCAGATATGCATACGAATATATATAGGGGTGGAAATCGGTACGGTATCGGTATCCCAATACCGAATAACGAATTACACCCTAAAGTCAATCCCAATCCCAATCCCTAAATAATTTCGGTTACTCCCAATCCCTAAATATTTCAGTATCCCAATCGGTACTTCGGTATCCCAATCGGTATTATCGAATACGAAATTAATTATCTTTACAATTAATAATTAAATATACAAATGAGATTTTATTGTTTAATTTAGGGGAAAATGACTAAGCAAAGAGTTTTGAATTAGGATATTATTAAGGAGAATAGAGGAGAGGAGACATCTCAAGTTCTTGTCATTGGTAATTTTTAATTTGACGAATTGGACGTTGAGAAACGGCTATTAATAATGATGGAATGATCTGTGTATAATTAAATGTCACTCTTGGTGGTTGAGGGTCATGTAGTAGTGAATGAGAGAGTCTAGTTGAGAGGATAAAATACACACTAGCTTATATTTCGGTATTGATCGGTATTTCGGTATATACCGATCCCAATACCGTAATCCCTAATACCGGATAACAATTGAAATTCAATCCAAATCCCAATCCCAAGAAATAATACGTGTATTCGATAATACCAAATATAGACAAATTCGATACGGTATTCGATATATCCCAAATACCGGTACCAAACAATCCCAGAAGAAAAAAATAAAAGTTGAACTACGACATAAAAGTCAACCGTAAAATCGAAGTTGACTGATGCGATTTCGTACTCTTCCCAGCCTGCCTAATCCTCCTCCTCCTCCTCCTCAACTTTCCCTCTACAGTTTACAGATCGAGCTTTTAGTTAGTGGATACTAAAATATAGTTTAAGCATCATTTACGCATGTGATGATATGATAATTATTAGTTTTGATATAGTCAAATATTCCAAATTTTTTTTGGAGAAGTATATATGCATGGTAAGGAATAATAAATCAAATCAAAGCTGATCATCACGTGATGCATTGCATGCCTGCCAATGATTCTGCTGTTTGCTTCCTGTATAGTTTTGGCTTCAAACTGATCCTTGGAAATTACCAAGACAAATGAAATTTTAGCTAGCAGATCCCATTCTATCAGGTGATGAAGAATAAATCTGATATATGGCACCTCCTATCCAATCAAGAGAAAATAAAGGGGGAAAAAGAGGAGAAAAAGAATAATCTCAAGATGTCGGTAACACGTTCACCCATAATAAATCGAGTTGTTGGGATGTGTAAGAATCTTGAGTAAATTAAACGTTTGGTCGGTCAGTTTATCACATTTTTTCTATGTGTGCAATCCAAAAAAAAATCCATTCTTATTAGTCGCTAATTTTTCTATGTGTAAGCATGAAAAGTGTGATGAACTGAATGACCAAACCTGTAATTTAGCCTAAGAATCTTATATCATTCGTTATGTGCATGTTTTCTCCAATAAAACCCAATTGATGAAGTTGAAGTTTTCCCCCATCATCTTACACCGTGTACTTAAATCGACCGCGAATCTTTATTGAGTGTAGCAAGCTAAAGGGTTTAATTAAACAAGAGACCCCGACCTCCTTCAATTTCGAAGACTCCGCAGGTACATACCTTACGAAGAGAACTAATTCACTCCAATAACCCGAATTGCGTTGACGAAATATCTTATATCCATCATGTCCTTACATTGATTTATGCTGTCATTACATGACAGACTTATAACTTATAAGTCATGAACTGTATCATTCAAGACTATTCATTCCTTGCTTCTCAAGTCACCAGAAAATAGAAAGACTCTTTGCTCTTTCTGGAGTTAAATCTCTTCTTGGTTTGGGATCACTTGTATCTCTCTATCTCATTATTCACTGCCTTCTAATTCCCATATGTATAGAGAGAATATATTGAAACTGACGGATCAAGTTTAAGTCCATAATTTTTATCTTGTTTTTCCCTTGTTCAGATTAAGGTTGATATGGATATCAAATCTCCTGAGAAATGGATGGTTGGGGGTGAACATTGATGATTGAGATTGATTGAATTAATAGAACATTCCATTCTTTTTTTTTTTTGTGGGTTTTGTTATGGAATGAGTATACAATTGCAAGTGGTGAGAGTACCAACCTGCTAATTAATCCACATCTAGTCACCTGTAGCCACTCACTAATCATTGTGATGTATGAGAACTGAAGCATAATTGATATTATTGCAATTATGGGACTGATATTTATTAATAACTATCATTATGTTCCTGGATTAGGATTTCCATACAGGACACTTGCTTTGTTTAATCATTCATCAGGAGAGACAACACTGGAGCATACAAATTGATCTCCCCCCCAAAAACAAAAAGAAAGGAAAACTCCTCTGCACTTATGGTTAACAGAAAACTAACCAAAAAGAAGAAAAATGGGCAGAGAAGGTTTACATGAAAGGTGTAAACTTTTGCTTTCACACTCACAACTTTGCAAAATTCCTCTCCCACAGAGAAAAACATCTTCTTCAAGCTCTCGAGACCTCGAGGGAAACGAAGTGTTCATCATCGTCGACTGATGAAGCAGTAGCAGCAGCATTAGCAGTTGGTAAATCAGTCACCTTATCATCCCCACTGCCTGGTTGCTGGTCTTTGCTCTTCCCCCACAGCACAATGTACAATCCTAAAACTATAACTATCGTCCCCAGGATCCTTCCCATGTACAGAATCTCGGATAAGAAAATCGAACCCAAGATTGTGACTATCACCATGCTCAGAGGGCTGAACGCTGTCACGAAAACCGGACCCTTGGTCTTCAACACCATTCCCTGTATGTAGTATGCCATTCCTGAACATATCACTCCCTGCATTGACACAACATTTGGTAGAAAGTAACTAAGTAAGTAATCTGAACAAAGTTCCTTAACAGCTTCAATGTACAGAATTTGGCATTTGGGACTCACACTATAAGCAGCAGCTAATAACTTGGTGTCTAAGCCAATGGCCCAAGCAGAAGGGTTCCCCCATTCCATCCCAATGGCCAAAACCGAGCCCTCGATCGTTCCCATCATGCAGATCAAAGCTGTTAATGAGAGCTCAGCCGGGTACGATTTCAAAGTGATTGTCTGAAGAATGACAAAACCAGCCCAGGAAATGCAGCCAATGGCTAGCATAATTGCACCCTTGACAGGATCCTGAGCAGCTGCTGAAGTCGTGGCGGCTTGAACCCCTTCAGTCCATGGCAGATCCACCCTAGCACCTTTAATCAAGGTCATCAACATGGCTCCTCCAACTGTCACTATTGTGCCCAGGATTTTTGCCTGGCTGTGCACCTTCTTCAGGTTAACTGACTCAAGCCTGTGAGTACATAACAATAACAAAAACCCCATTATTAACCACAGTGGCAGAAGTGTCACAATGCACATATAGTATTCATAAAAGAAACCCAGTTATCATCTTGTTTTTCTTACCTCAGGGCCCAAGCCATGAGGAATGCAAAGGCAGGGACAACATTGACCATAGCAGCAGCAAATGTTGCAGATGTATACTTCATGCCTGTATAGTACAAGTTCTGATCGATCGTTGGCCTGTAATTAACACGATTAATTAATACGCGCTTTGAGGTTAGCGAATTACTGGTTTGAGTAAAGAAAGTAAGATAAAAGGGGTTGCTGTTATTGATGATCTTACTCCAACAAGCCAAGGAGTGCAACCTTGAAGAAGATCCCCCAAGTCAACTTAGGCCTCACCTTCCTGTCATTCCACCAAATGTTTCATTTGTTAGCTTCCTCATGAAGAAATAAAGCTGGCACAAGTAACAAACTACAGTATAGATGAGAAGATGAAGTGGGTATATAATAACCTGTCAAAGATTAGAGCAAAGGGGGCAATAACAGCAGTGGCGATTGCATGTCGATAGACAACGAGGACGTGTTGGCTCATTCCTCGGTCGAGAGCAAACTTGGAGATGATGGACATACCAGCATACCCAAACTGCATGAAGATCACAGCCAGAAATGGCCTTGCTTGGTTGCAGAACTTTGATGACCAGCACTCCATTTTGAAGGAAACGGTGGTGACTTGTGGCAAAAGGTACTATAGCTTCTGCCCTCTAGTCTCTATCTCTCTAGTGTAATTGAAGTAGAAGCTGGTGAGTAAAAGAAGCAAGTAGAGGGAGGTTTATATAGAACAAGTTTTCTAGTGGGTTTTTTGGTTTTTTCTTTTCTTTTGAGGTTTGTTTTGGCATTGATTAGAACATTGCCAACACGGCTTTGTTTGGGTTGATTAGAACATTACCACTACCCTTATCTAATTAAATCAAGTTAACTATCTGTGATCCATATGGACATTTTTCCATTAGTGTTAACAAAAGCATCAGGAAAACCAGTTTTCTTTCCCTAATCCAGAGTTAAAAGTGAAAAGCAAAGATGAGCTCATAAGTTGTTTACCCCCCACAAATGAATATTTGTGTTACTATTATGAGATAGTGTCTGAAATCAAATTAGTTAAATAAATATGTAGTAATGAGAGAGGTACATATGTAGTGGAGAAGATTGGGAGGATTAGATTCATGGCTTAGGCTGATGTTCCATTGATTCAAAGTCATTATAATATTATCACAATATACCGTCGTGGATTGCGATCATCATGGTTTGATCCGATTTTGGACCAGACCAGATCATCATGGTTTGATCTGGTTTAGATCCCTATCCACCCACATGCATCCACAATTTCGAGAGCGAATAGGTGGCTGCAAATTTGAATGGGGATGGCAAAAAAGACCCATTATTTGGGTACTTCTCGAAATCCAATATATTATGGGTCAAAATCAATTTTGCGTAATTTTAGTTTTGGGCAGACCTATATCCAACTATTTTAGTCTCGTCTGAATTGAACTCATATTATTGGATATCCAAAAGAAAATGAGTATTCGATTCTAATGCAATTTTTGTCTTTTTATTTATGAAACAAACAGAAAGGTGGAAACACTAACATTAAAGATATAATTGGATTGAAGGCAGTTAATTAATGAGATGACCGATATTGTTTTTTTGTGTGTGTACAATCATATGCACTCAAATAGTCATTTGGGTATGAACAAAATATGTTAACCCAAATTGAACCCAACCCAAACCCATTTAAGTCGTGACAATTGGAACAAATTACCCAAAAAATCGAACCATTTGTCATTCCTAAATTTAAGAGACTCATCAAATAGCAAATGCACTAGTTTTGAGGGACCTTAATAGACAAATATCATCCAGGTGTGGCATTTTTTTGTTATGTGTAATATCTAACTCCACTTCCACTAGCTAATGTAGCTTAGAATTCGATGAGAAAAGCAAAAGCCAAGTGGTTGCTGATGCGGCTGGCCGGCGGGGGTTCTGGTTGGCCAGCGTATTTCTCAATAGGAATTTTACTTCATGATGCAGATATTGAGAGAAGACGTTTGATGGAAGCTGCACAATTCGATCTCTTCTAGCTCTATAACTCGCTTCTCTGTCTCTGCAGAGGGATGGATTCTTTTGGGGTTCTCATTTTCTATGTTGGCCACTCCAACCAATAAAAAGAATAGAATAACTCGAGTTGTTAGTAGAAGATTAATCACAAATTTTTGTGTAATATTCGAATGCGAATTTTGGTATTAAACGAGACATGGCAATTTTAAGGGTATCCAATTAAACTTACTAGGTTTTAGGGTTTGAAAGAAAAATTGGGGAATTGGAATGTAATTGGGATTTAATTTCAGGTTATAATTATTATTTATTATGTTTGAATCATTTGAGCAAATGAAGTGTAGTATATTGGTGTCACCTAGATACAAGGATTGTAAAACCGTACCGGAATAGTCATCAGCGGCAATGCAGTCAAAATCGCGATTCTATGTAGAAGCGTCTAAGTGACCTAGTAGCGTAAAGATGTAAGCTTTTAAGCGTAGATTTTGACTAAAATTTTAAGTGAAAAGCGCGATTCTATGAAGAAGCATTCTCGCGTAAGCTTTTAAATTTTAAAACGCGAATTTGACTAGTCGAGTCAGCGGTATGATTTTTTTTTTTATGTTGAAGTCATGATTCATTCGTTTCATACCGCTAAACACTGTCCACCATATCCCTCCCCAACTTGCACTACAACGTCGTAGCTCGATCCGCATCAATCCAATCGTGGTATGGAGCATCTAGCCTTCTTTCGACTTGCGATTTCGTTTTTCCTGCAGTTTTCTTTTTTTGCCTCATTCGGTTCGTAGGAATTTAGCCCAGAAAAGAACCCCATGAAATGAAACGTTTGATTGATGCGCGCTTACTTCTTCCTTTCACATATTCTCTGCAAATTAATGCGCTACTGTTATCTTAACTACTATTATCTGATTCCGATCCCTTATTAATATTATATGCAGTTGATGTCATCATCTTGAAGTTGCAGTGGTTTCCCAGCCTGCCTAATTTTCCTCATCAACTTTTCCATCTGCAGAACAGGTCCACTTTATCCATTTCCCAAACACTACAACCTTAATGATTAGACATATATATATCGATAATAAGTTTTGGGATGACTTTGGGAATGGTGATTTGTAAGTAATTATCGTGAAATTGGTGTATTATTTGGTTACAGAATGTTCTAGTGTTAATGGGTATACATGTTTGTTGCTAAGAGAGCTTAAGCGAGTACAAAATTTCGGAGCATATACTAGAGGGTTTTTTTGGGGTGATGGTTCACTCGCATGTTTGGAAAATTGTTCTCCATATTTGTTTTTTTTTGGATTTTATCATTTTAGACTATCTCTGTGCAGACTTTTATCTTTTCTAGGGATGACAATTTCGATCTGATCCGTTTTACCCGATCTGTTTGGCCTGCTTTGAGGCGGGTCCGACCCGCCCCGTAGGCAGGGCGGGTCGGGCATGGGTACTCTCATCGACCCGACTGTCCTGACCCGCCCTATTCTCGACCCGTTCTTGCCTAAATTACATTTAATCTTAGTCATACTACTTAGGATTTTTCTTTTATTACATCATAATGTAGCTATAATAAGGTTGTAAATCAGTGAAAACCTCAATTTCTCTAATAACTTAACTACATTTATCATAATATTGTTTGTTTTCTTGGTCTTATAATAAAAATAACGAATATTTCTACTGCTTTTCATATAAATTGCATACCCATTGGGTCGATCTGTCACGACCTGGGACCCGTAATAAATTACCTGACCTGGACCCGACCTGTCGTCACGAGACATGTCTGGGTACCAAGAAACCCGTCCCGGACCTGCCCATTGTCATTCCTAATCTTTTCTTCAAATTCTATTTTTGTTTAGCTTGTGTATTTAATGCAGTAATTGTCTTGGGTTGTGATGGCTTTCTCTTCCTATTTTTGTCATGAAAATACTTTAAAAAGCATGGTATTGTTGTTATATACCATTTACGTGTATGGTTTTGATTTATTTATGAATTGGTGTTTACGTATATGATTGTTAGTTTTGATTTTAGTCAAATATGGCAACTTTTTGGATCAAGTATATATTCAACCATCTATGTGAGTTGTATACAACCATATGCATGTTATAGGGCTGGCTATTTGGATCGGGACCGGATGAAAAACCGGAAACCGGACCGTATAACCCGGATCGAGACCGGACCAGGACCGGATAGTAAACAATCCAATCCAATCTTTGGGCTTAGATTTGAGATAAAAAACCGGATAAAGACCGGATAAGAGAGCTCAACACCCAAAACTTAAGGTTAATTTGCATAAACGGTCACAAACCTTTGCACTTAGTACAAAACTTAACCAACTCCTCACCCTTTCAGGCCTTAGGCCACTCAAATTCCCACAATCTCAATATAAAATCAAGACCGAATTGGGACCGGACCGGGTCAAGACCGGACCGGATCAAGACCGGACTGTATCCAATCCAATCTTCGGTCCTTATATTTTCAAAAAAACCAGACTGGACCGGATCAATTTGGACCAATTTAACCGGACCGGACCGTATAGCCACCCCTAGCATGTTAGGAACAATAAATCAAATCAAAGCTGAGCATCGATGCATGCATGCCATTGATTCCTGCTGTTGCTTGCTTCCTGTATAGTTTTGGCTTCAAGCTGTTTCTTTCATGGAACAATTAGCATCGATCGTCAATATCCTTGTTTGTTTTTTTTTTGGTGGTTTTTGTGAAGAGATATGAAAATCCTTGGAAATTACCAAGACATGATCAAGGCATATGGAACAATGGAATTAAGCTGTGCATCTCTCAAAGGGATTTTAGCTAGCTGATGATCCCATTTTATCAGGTGATGAAGAACAAATCTGATATATGGCACATCCTATCCAATGAAGAGAAAAAGAATAAGCTCAACATGTTGGGAGTCAGTTTATCCTAGTAATTAAATCGAGTTGTTGGAAGGTGTCCTAATCTTTTATCATTTCTTATAATATGCATGCTTCTCAAATAAGAGTCAATACATGAAGTTGGAGTTTGCACATATCATCTCTCATATTATGTGCTTAAATCAACCGTTGAACGTTGATATATATTGAGAGCAATAAGGGTTTGAACAGGAGACTTTGACCTGAATCAATTCCAAAGACTCAATAGGTACATACAGCAGTGGCAGAGGCAGAGGGAAAGAGGGTGGATCCGGACCTATCTTGGCTTTGGATTAAAAAAGAAGAAGAATAATAATAATAATATATGCTAAAGATAGAAATTTTAATTGCTAATCTTATTGTTATTAATTTAAAGTAGTATTTGTTAATGATTTACAAGTTAGATTACATTGAAAATATGCATGATTTATGATAATCCTTAGTTTCAAGTGCACGAATATTAAGGGGTCGTTTGAAAGTTGTGATTGTTAGAGTTGTGTTTGTTGAATACATGTATTGTGCATAATACAATGTTTGGAAGTGCCAAAGTGTTAAACAATGCATGCATTGTTTTAGGTAGGTCCCACCATCAATCACAAAAAATGATGCATTATACAATCTCAACTAAAAGTTGTGATTGTTGTGATTGTTAGTTTTAGATTTGTGTCAACTTTTTCTTTCCATTTATATCCCCAATAGTTTTAGCCTTATTCTACAAGTTAAGGGTAAATGTGACATTTTTCCATAAAAGTAATTTTATGTAAAT